TTCCAACCCCCTACTCATGAGAGTACCATGCAAGCACCATGAAATGTAGGTTCATGCTCCCAGAGCAGATTTCCAGAGTTAGGTATTCAGCAGTCCCAGGCCTCCATTCCCTCCCTGCTCCATTCTCTTCCTCCTGCCAGTGAGCTGGGGTTGGGGGGGAAGGGCTTAGGTCCTGCTGGGCCACGGCTTTGGTATGTTACCCTGTTCCGTGAGGTTTTTTCTTTTCTCCAGGTGTGTGCAGTTTGGCGTAGCCCTCTTTCCTGTTGCTTTTTCAGGATTAGTTGTATTAATTATATTTTCATATTATATGTGGTTTTAGGAGGAAGCCTCTGTCTCACCTCTCACGCCACTATCTTTAATCCTTTCTAAAAAACCTTCAGAGTCTGTTCTTAGGTAATTTTTTTTATTACCAATTCAATTTCATTGCTGGTGATTGGTCTGCTTAGATTTTTGTTTCTTCCTAGGTTAGGCTTGGAAGGTTGTATTTTTCTAGAAAGTTGTCTGTTTCTTGAAGGTTATCCAGTTTTTTAACATATAATTTTTCATAGTATTCTCTAATAGTTCTTTATAGTTCTGTGGTGTCCATGGTGATATTTCCTTTCTCATTTCTGATTTTGTTTATGTGTGTACACTATCATTTTTTCTGGATATATCTGGCTAGAGTTTAACATATATATATATATTTTTTCTCAATTAACCAGATCCTGGTTTCATTTATTCTTTTCTATTGTTTTATTCTTCTCAATTTTATTTATTTCTGCTCTGATCTTTATTATGTCCCTCCTTCTACTGACTTGGGGCCTCATTTGTTCTTCTTTTCCTATTTTCATTAATTGTGTGTTTAGACTGTTCATTTGGTATTGTTCTTCTTTCCTGAAGTCAGCCTATATTGCCAGATACTTTCCTCTTCTAATTGCCTTCACTGAGTCCCACAGATTTTGGGGTGTTGAGTTGTTTTCATTTGTCTGCATATATTGCTTGATTTCTGTTTTTATTTTGTCATTGATGCATTGTTTATTTAGAAGCATGTTGTTAAACCTCCATGTGTTCATTAGCTTTTTTGTTTTCTTTGCATAATTTGTCTCAAGTTTCATAACTTTGTGATCTGAGAAGCTGGTTGACACTATTTCAATGCTTCTGAATTTACTGAGGCTTTTTTTGTGGCCTAGTATGTGATCTATTTTGGAAAATATTCCATATGCACTTGAGAAGAATGTATATCCTGCTGCTTTTTGGTGGATGTTTTGTGGATGTCTGTTAGGTCCATCTGTTCTAATGTGTTGCTCAGTGGCTGTGTCTCCTTACTTAATTTCTGTCTGGTTGATCTGTCCTTTGGAGTGAGTGGTTTGTTGAAGTCTCCTAAAATGAATGCATTGCATTCTATTTTCCCCTTTAGCTCTTTTAGTATTTGTTTCACATAATTACATGCTTCTTTGTTAGGTAGGTAGATATTTACAATGGTTATATCCTCTTGTTGGACTGACTCCTTTATCATTATGTAATGTCCTCCTTTGTCTCTTTTACTTTCTTTGTTTGGAAGTCTTTTGTCTGACACAAATACTGCTACTCCTGCATTTTCCCTCCTATTACATTCATGAAATATCTTTCTTTCAGTTTACTTTCAATCTGTGTATGCCTTTTGGTCTGAAATGGGTCTCTGGTAGGCACCATGTAGATAGGTGGTCTTGTTTGTTTATCCTTTTTGCCACTCTGTGTCTTTTGATTGGTGTATTCAATCCATTTACATTTAAGGTAATTATTGATAGGTATGCACTTATTGCCATTTTATTAATTATTTTCTTGTTTTTATAGCTCCTCTCTGTTCCTTTCTTCCTGAGTTTTACTCTTCTTTTGTTACTGATGGTGTTCTTTAATGTTGTGGTTGGATTTGTCTTTTTTTAAGTTTTTTGTGTATCTATTATGGGCTTTAGGTTTCTGGTTACCGTAAATTTCAAGGATAGCTTCCTGAGTACATAACAGTCTGTATTAAGATGATGATTGCTCTATTTCAAATACAATCTCAAAGTACTTTTTTTTCCTTCTTCCTCTTCCACACTTTATGTATTAAATATCATTATCTGCACTTTTTGTGTATCCCTTGACTGATTTTGTATATAGTTTGTTTCACTACTTTTGTGTTAATTTCGTACTTGCTCAGTAAGTAATTGGTCTACTACGTTTACTGTTTTTAAATTCACTGATGAAAACGACTTAGCCTTGGGAACATTTCTGTCTATGGTAGTCCATTTAATATCTCCTATAATGCCGGTTTAGTAGTAGAAAATCCCTTCAGCCTTTGTTCACCTGGGAATTGTTTAATCTCTGCTTCAAATTTGAATGATAATCTTACTCAGTAGAGGATTCTTGGTTGAAGGTCCTTCTGTTTCAGTACAGCAAATATTTCTTGCCACTCACTTGTGGCCTGTAAAGTCTCTGCTAAGAAGTCTGCTGATAGCCTAATGAGGTTTTCCTTATAAATAATGTTTTTTTGCACTCTGGCTGCTTTCAGTGCTCTCTTCTTATCCTTAATCTTTGCCATTTTAATTGTTATATTGTTTTATCTTCCTGGGGTTCCTTTTGTTAGGGGCTTTCTGAACTTTCATGACCTGAATATCTATTTCCTTTCCTAGACTGCGGAAGTTTTCAACAATTGTTTTCTCAAAGAGACTTTTATCCCTTTGTCTCTGTTTTCTCCTTCTGATACCCCTATTATGAGAATATTACTTTGTTTGGCTTGGTCACACAGCTTTCTTATCATTCTTTCATTCTCAGAGATTCTCTTTTATCTATTCTTCTGCTTTGTTGTGTTCCTGTTGTTTAATTTCCATCTCATTGATTGTCTCCTCTACTTGCCACAATCTCTTTTTCATTCCTGCAATTGTATATGTCATTTCAGTTATGTATTCTTCAGCCCTGAGTGGCTCTTTTTCAGCTCTTGTATCTCTTTGTTGAAGTCTTCTCTGAGATCTTCAATATTTTTCTGCTTATCAGTGGGCATATTTATTAATTTTACTTTGAAATCTTTATCAAGAAGACTGGTGATGTCTGTTTCACTTAGCCTCTCCCTGATATTTTATCTTGTAGTTGTGTTTGGAACATATTCCTCTGCCTCCTCATTTTGTTAGTGTTTCTGTGTTTCTTTGTTTATATTAGATGGATCTACTATGCTTCCTGGCCTAGAAAGTAATTTTATGAAGCAGGCATCCTGTGGTGTCCAGAAGCTCAAGTCTCTTTTCTCTCCAGTTTCTGGTTCTCCTTTGTGGTAGAACCCCAGTTGCTTTTGGTGGTCAATGGGTGGAGCCACCTTTATGTCTGTCTGCTGGAAGTGGTCTCAGTATGCTGCAGCTGGCAGTTTTTCTCAGTGTGCCCTTTGTGGTCAGAGCAGTTATTTCTGATAGTATCATTGTGGTCAGGTCACCCTCAGCCTGCCCTACAGCAATTGTGGGGCTGCAGGGTTAACAGGGTGGGTGGGCCAATTGCATTCTTTTTGGGTACTAGTGCCATACAGCCAGTTGTGGTGGCATAATATGGATATGGCAGTGGCCAGGTACATAGCACCAAGCAAAGCTGCCCAGGGTGGGGGTGTGAGGTTGAGGGAGGGTGTGGGAGGGGTGTGGGGTGGTGGGAGTGGTGAAGTGTGGGGTATCAGGGTGGAGGAAGGTGTTCTTGGAGCTGGCTCCTACAGTCACCTCCCCAGTTGAGCTGCAACAGGGCTAAGATGGGAGAGGCTCCCTCTGCCTATCAGGTACCAAAGTCTGACACTGCTGTTGGCTGGTAAGGGAAGTGCTTATGCCTGAGCTGTCAGCTCGGTGATGGAGCATCCAGGGCTTCTGAGCGTGCCCTAACTATTGAGCCAAGGGAGGACTGGGAAGGTATGTTCATCTGCCCTTTCCCTTGCAGAGAGAGCTCTATCCAACCCTTGTACCTCTGGCAGCCCTCCTGCTGCTGGGAAATCTTTCAACCTGCCCACCTCTGTTTTGGGTCTCAGTGGGACTTGTGGAGCATGCCTGTCCTCCACAACTAGCAGGAGTCTCAGCCTTCCACAGTGCTCCAGTTGTCCATGGTGTCCAGCCCCACTAATCACCAAAACCCAATGCAATGTGGAGTTGTGCTCCCAGAGCATATCTCTGGGGCCAGGTGTGCAGAGTTCCTGAGTACCTATCTACTCCCTGATCCATTCTTCTTCCTCCCACCTGTGGGCTGGTATGGGGAAAAGGCTTGGGTCCCACTCGATCACGGCTGTGCCACATTAACTTTTTCTGTGGGAGCTTCTCTTCCTCTCAGGTGTAGGTGTTCTGTTCTGAAGTCTTCAAGTCATCTTCAGGTTTAATTGTATTTGCTGTAGTTGTTTCCTTGGTATGTATATGTGTATGAGGGGGGGTTTCTGCCTTGCCTTCCTACTCTGCCATATTTTTCCCCCCTTAGAGTCTGTACTTTTAGTGAGTGCAGTGTACTGTCCCTTTTGTACTTTGAAATATAGCTAACAAACGGAACTTTTAAAGTGAAAGCTAAAAAGTTTTTGACAGCTCTGATAGTTGCCAAATAGTGGGCTTACATGCTATTTATTAGTAATCAAACCAATAATATTTTGTTTTTGGTTTTATTTCTGTCCATTGTTGCTCAATAAAGATATAAGAACAAAAATAATGCCATATAATACAATACACTTTAGTCTTGGCTTTGCCATGTACAAACAATTATGACCTTTGGCAAACTGTTTCTAAACTTCTGTTTCTTCAACTGTCATACATGGGTAATATTAATACTCATAGGCTTAAAATAGATAACATGTGAAGTGTTTAGTACATATGAGTGCCTAATAAATGTTAGTTGCTGCTACAAGGATGACGAGATGAGTATGTTGACAGTATGGTGACAAGGGACAGGTGATTGCAGCTAGTGCTTTTCCTTCAGATGAGAATACAGGATATAACTTCTGTATTAGATTTTTCTCTTTATTTCCAAAATGGTTGACTCATTTTCTCCCCCAAACTTTTTAGGACAAACCCAAAGTAATAGTGATTCAATGATACCTGCTGGAGTAATAGTAAACAAGCCACACCCTGTAACAGTGACTACTTCTATTCCTCCATCATCTCGAAAAACAGAAACTGCAGTAAAGAAACCTAACATAGCAGTTGTAGAAATGAAGTCGGAGAAAAAGGATCCTCCTCAACTTACTGTACAGGTATGCCATGGTGCAGAAAATATCAAGGAAAAAAACAAACTTTGTTTTAGTTTTAGAACTTATTTCATGAATACTTTGCTTTCATCATGGGTTAAAACTAAGATATTAATGTGATGTCTCTATCCTTATTCTGTTTGATTTAAGCTACCTTTTTTAAGCGACTCACATCTAGGTGACTTGATATTCCAAAGGGAACATTATATTATAATTAAAAAAGAAGAATGTATATGACTTCAACCATAATTAAGAAGACTTGAATTAATGGAGCAAGAACTCATGAAGATTAAATATTCAAGTTGCTGATTCTTCCTAAGTTGATGTATAATTTAAATGAATTATAATTTTAAAAAGAATCATGTTTTTAACTTGAACTTTAGGATCATTTTGGTATTTGAAAGAACAAAGGTTTATAAAAGTTAAAGTGTTTTGGTACTTGTCCTATAAAACAAAGTATTTGAGAAATAGAATTGGTTATTTTAAATAAATGTAATGTGTGATGGATACTTCATAAATCAGTGGAAAATAGGATTCTTATAAATGAAATAATGTATATTATTATTGGTAGGAAATGTGGAAAATAGATCACTTTTAGACTCTAAACTGTAAGTCTAGCAAATTCTAAATAGGCAATAGATTAAAGTATAACTGAAATATAAAAATATACAAGAACTAGAAGATAATTTCATGGAGTCTTTATCAACACTAAAGCTAAGTCTGGATATGGGAGAAGAAAACTTAGATATGGCAGAAAAGTAGATTGAAGTCTAAAATATAAACTTAAGCATGTAGAATATTCCTAAATTAAAAGAAAAACAACATATAGTGAGCAAAATACGAAAGGAGTGTGCTAGAAAGGATTAACTATTAAACATACAAACCTCCATAAGTTAATAAGAAAACATAGATGCAAATGTAGAAGTATGCAGAGAACATGAGTAAGATTACAGAAGGGGAAATATAGTTTAAAAGAAACGAATTGAATAATTTAAGTCCTGCTAGTGAAAATGTAAATTAAATTAACAGTAATACACTGCCATTTAAAAACTGATATTGCTGAAACAATTACATTATTTAATTTGGGTAAAATTTATAATTGTGTTTTTGATATAAATAGAGCTCATTTGGATTGCATTTTGGCAGTAAAAATTACTAAGAATTTTAAATATTCATGCCCTGTGGCCTAAGAAAATAATCTAATCTCTGGTTATCTGACATAATGAAATAATTCAGGTCTAGGAAGAAAAACCCTATATATATATGAAATTTTTTGTAGTTATGTATATATAAAATAGTAGAAACATTAGAAATATACTAAATGTTTACCAACAGGAAAATGATTAAATAATTAAAGCATGTATATTTGTTGAAATATTACACAGTCACTTAAAATGTAATTATGAAGTCTATATGGAAGTATAGTGTTTATGACCTAAGTATAACAAAAAATCAGGAATGAAACTACTTTAGATTTTAGTTATGCATAAGTGTATAGTGAGATAAATATGCATAAATGGACAGTAAAAAAGTGAATAGTGAAAATGAAGTTATTTTAAGATAGCTGAATTTTGTGTGTTCCTGTATTTTCCAAATTTTGTAAAATATATTATCATAATTAAAAAATTTGTTATCCATTGACTTCACAATAAAAATTAATTATTATTGATACATAGATTGACAAACATTTGAATCAGAATGATGAACAGAAAACTGGAAGTTGTGTTCTGTTTTAGGTATTACCAAATGTAGATATTGACAGCATTTCGAATGGTAGTGCTGATGTCAGTCTCTCTCTGCCTAGTCCCAAAGAAACATCTCCTCTAAAAACCTGGATACAGGTATTGTTCAGAGTTTATCATACAGTTTTGAATAATGTCTGATTATAGGTTTTAACTACATATTGCATGCAAAGTTCTCCATTATAATAATAAATTATTATCATTGTTTAGGTTTTTAGGAAAAGACTCAAAATGAATCTGGAATTGCTTATGAATTTGAAAATAAAAATTTGTTTAAGATCCTTATATTTATAAACATTCTGAAAGTGATAATCCTTAGTGTAATGTTTTGGTAACTTAAGTTGTAAGATTCAGATGTGAAGAAAACATTTCTCTATATCTTTGGAGAAGAATCTTGATTTAAATTGGAATTAAATTATAGTTTTCCTGATCGTGACTTTCATAGTGATGATTGAAGTGCAAATTTTGAGATGCGACTTTGTCGTAATACTATGACATGATGCAAAAATACATATTTCTTCCTACTATTTATTTACTGTTAAATAATGAAGTTATGACTTCACTGCACAGCTAAGTAGCAACTAACTTTTTCTAGGTTTCATGTACTGAAAGCAACTTTGGTCATCAAGAATACACTTTTAAGGAAAGGGAGAGCACCAACAATTTTTCATGATCAGAAATGGTAAAATAGACCTGATCTAAATGGTATTTGTACTTAATTAAAATTTTTCATGAATAACTTTTTTCAATGGAAGTTTATTAAAATAATATGATTACAAATAATAATTTTTAGATTCTATAATTCTGCTCTCAGGAAAAGGCTATCATGGTTTTTGGTGACTAGATTATGTATAGTGAGGCTTAAAGCCTAAATAGGTGAAATAACTTTTGTTTATCTTGCTAAATTATTTGATTTTGTGTATGTCATGAGTTTCTGTATGTGTATACTTATATATCCACATACATAAACACTTTAACTCTAGGAGAGAAATCACAATCAAATCAACTTGATCAATAGTCTTAAGTTTTATTGTTGATGGAATCCTTGACAGGAAAACTTATATTTAATTTTTTATAGCTATCAAAATGAGAACCTAATAGCTTGGGAGTATCTAGGATTTCATTTACTAATGAAAGAAATATTGAACAGGATATTAAAATAAAAAATAGGGCCATGTAATTATATAAGTTTGTGTTATGGGAAAAAATATGATGAATTATGTATAAACTAAAAATATATTAAGCATAACAAAAACTTTCTGAAAATGAAAATGCTTTCTTAGACCCCAGAATTTGCAAAGGTAGATGAAGAAGAGGTGAAGTTTCCAGGAAATAACTTTGATGAAGTAATCGATGTCATACAGGTAACAAAGCTTAAAAAACCACAAGAAATTTTTTTTCTACCAGTATTTTTCATGTGATTAATTATCTTTTTTAAAAGACTTTATTATTATTACTTTTTAGGGTCACAGAAAAATTGAGAGGAGGATATAGAGATTTATCACATACCTGTAGCCCCACCCATGTGTTATCAACATCCCCGCCAGACTGGTACATTTGTTAAAATTGATGAACCTACATTGTCACATTATAACCACCCAAAGTCCATAGTTTACCTTAGGGTTCACTCTTGATGTACATTCTATGGGTTTAGGTAAACATATTCATCATCATAGCATCATACAGAGTATTTTCACTGCCCCAAAATCCTCTGTTCCACTTACTGATTCCTACCACTCACCCCAGTCCCTGGCAAGCACTGAACTTTTTCACTGTCTCCACTATGGAGATGTGATTTCATGTACTTGAAATCATATAGTATGTAGCCTTTTGAGATTGGCTTCTTTCACTTAATAATATTCCTTTAAGCTTCCTTCATATCTTTTCATGACTTAATAGCTCCTTTCTTCTTAGTGTAGTAATTCCATTGTCCACAATTTTTTTATTCATTCACCTACTAAAGGGTATGTTAGTTGTTTCCAACTTTTGGCAACTGTGAATAAAGCTGCTATAAACACTTGTGTGCAGGTTTTTGTGTAGACATAAGTTTTCAACTCCTCTGGATAAATATCAAGGAACTGGATTGCTGGATAGTATGGTAAAGGTATGTTTAGATTTGTAAGAAACTGCTAAATTGTCTTCCAAAGAAGCTGTACCATTTTGTATTCCACAAACAATGAATGAGTGTTCCTGCTGCTCCACATCCTTGTCAGCATTTGGTGTTATCAGTGTTCCAGATTTTGGCCACCTTAATAGGTGTGTTTTAACTTGCATTTTCCTGATCACATATGATGTGGAAAATCTCATATGCTGATTTTTCATGTGTTAAACCTTCTTTGGTAAGGTGTCTGTTATTGCCCATTTTTTAAAAATTAAGGCACATAAAAAATATTGTGGTTACTGTATTCAGCCGTATTTTCAAGTTCCACACACACCCCATGGCAGTTACAGTCCATCAGCATAGTAAGATGTCAGAGAGTCACTACTTGTCTTCTCTGTGCTGTACTGCCTTCCCCATGACCCCATACACCATGTGTGCCAATCATAATACCCCTCACTCCCCTTCTCCCTCCCTTCCCACCAGCTCTCTCACACCCCTCTCCTTTGATAACTGCTAGTCCCTTCTTGAGGTCTGTGAGTTAGTTTCTGTTTTGTTCCTTCAGTTTTTTCTTCATTTTTATATTCCATAGGTGAGTGAAATCATTTGGTACTTGTCTTTCTCCACTTGGCTTACTTCACTGAGCATAATACCCTCTAGCTCCATCCATGTTGTTTCAAATGCTAGGATTTGTTTTCTTCTTATGGCCAAATAATTTTCCATTGTGTATATATATCACATCTTCTTTATCCATTTATATACTGATGGACACTTAGATTGCTTCTATATCTTGGCTATTGTAAACAGTGCTGCAATAAACATAGGGGTGCATATGTCTTTTTGAATCTGAAATTTTGTTTTCTTTGGATAAATTCCTAAAAGCGGAATTCCTGAGTCAACGGGTATTTCTATTTTTAGTTTTCTGAGGAGCCTCATATTGCTTTCCACAGTGGTTGAACTAATTTACATTCCCACCAGCAGTGTAGGAGGGTTCCCCTTTTTCCTCATCCTCACCAGCATTTGTTGTTCCTTGCTTTTTGGATATTGGCCATCCTAACTGGTGTGAGGTGGTTTTAATTTGCATTTCCCTGATAATTAGTGAGGTGGAGCATCTTTTCATGTGCCTGCTGGCCATCTGGGTTTCTTCTTTGGAGAAGTGTCTCTTCCTATCCTCTGCTCATTTTTTAATCAGGTGATTTGCTTTTAGGGTGTTGAGGTGTGTGAGTTCTTTATATGTTTTGGATGTTAACCCCTGTCGGATATATCATTTACAAATATATTTTCCCATATTGTAGGATGCCTTTTTGTTCTACTGATGGTATCCTTTGCTATACAGAAGCTTTTTACTTTGATGTAGTCTCATTTGTAAATTTTTTCTTGTGTCTCCCTTGCCCAAGGAGATGCGTTCAGAAAAAGTTGCTCATGTTTATATTCAAGAGATTTTTGCCTATGTTTTCTTCTTAGAGTTTTATGGTTTCATGACTTATATTCATATCTTTGATCCATTTTGAGTTTACTTTTGTGTATGGGGTTAGACAATAATCCAATTTCATTCTCTTGCAAGTAGCTGTCCAGTTTTGCCAACACCAGTTGGTGAAGAGGCTGTCATTTCCCCATTGTATATCCATGGCTCCTTTATCATGTGTTATTTGACTGTATATGCTTGGGTTTATATCTGGGCTCTCATTCTGTTCCATTGATCTGTGGGTATGTTCTTGTGCCTGTACCAAATTGTCTTGATTACAGTGGCTTTGTAATAGAGCTTGAAGTTGGGGAGTGTGATCCCCCCTGCTTTATTCTTCCTTCTCAGAATTGCTTTGGCTATTTGGGGTCTTTTGTGGTTCCATATGAATTTTGGAACTATTTGTTCTGGTTTGTTGAAAAATACCATTGATATTTTGATGGGTATTGCATTGAATCTATAGATTGCTTTAGGCAGGATGGCCATTTTGACAATATTAATTCTTCCTACCCATGAACATGGGATGTGTTTCCAATTATTGGTGTCTTCTGTAATTTCTCTTAAGAGTGTCTTGTAGTTTTCAGGGTATAGGTTTTTTACCTCCTTGGTTAGGTTTATTCCTAGGTATTTTATTCCTTTTGAGGCAATTGTGAATGGAATTGTTTTTCTGATTTCTCTTTCTGCTACTTCATCATTAGTTTATAGGAATGCAACAGATTTCTGTGTATTGATTTTGTATCCTGCAACTTTACTGAATTCAGTTACTAGTTCTAGTACTTTTGGGGTGTATTCTTTAGGGTTTTTTATGTACAATATCATGTCATCTGCAAACAGTGACAGTTTAACTTCCTCCTTAACCAATCTGGATGCATTTTATTTCTTTGTGTTTTCTGATTGCCTAGGCTAGGTCCTCCAGTACTATGTTGAATAAATGTGGAGAAAGTGGGCATCCCTGTCTTGTTCCCGATCTTAAAGGAAAAGCTTTCAGCTTTTCACTGTTAAGAATAATGTTGGCTCTGGGTTTGTCGTATATGGCCTTTATTATGTTAAGGTACTTGCCCTCTGTACCCATTTTGTTGAGAGTTTTTATCATGAATGTATGTTGAATTTTGTCAAATGCTTTTTCAGCATCTTTGGAGATGATCATGTGATTTTTGTCCTTCTTTTTGTTGATATGGTGTATGTTGTTGATGGATTCTCGAATATTGTACCATCCTTGCATCCCTGAAATAAATCCCACTTGATCATGATGGATGATCTTTTTGATGTGTTTTTGAATACAGTTTGCTAATATTTTGTTGAGTATTCTGCATCTTTGTTCATCAGGGATATTGGTCTGTGATTTTCTTTTTTTGTGGTGTCTTTGTCTGGTTTTGGTATTAGAGTAATGCTGGCTTCATAGAATGAGTTTTTAAGTATTCCCTCCTCTTCTACTTTTGGAAAGCTTTAAGGAGTTGGGTATTAGGTCTTCAGTAAATGATTAAATTCAGTGGTGAAGCTGTCTGGCCCAAGCTTTTTGTTCTTAGGTAGTTTTTTAATTACCAATTCAATTTAATTGCTGGTAATTGTTCTGTTCAGATTTTCTGTTTCTTCCTGGGTCAGTCTTGGAAAGTTGTATTTTTCGAGAGAGTTGTCCATTTCTCCTAGGTTATCCAATTTACTGGCATATAATTTTTCATAGTTTTCTCCTATAAATCTTTGTATTTCTGTGGTGTCCATAGTGCTTTTTCCTTTCTCATTTCTGTTTTTGTTTATGTGTGTACACTCTCATTTTTTCTGGATAAGTCTGGCTAGGGGGTTTATCTATTTTGTTTATTTTCTCAAAGAACCAGCTCCTCGTTTCACTGATTCTTTCTATTGTTTCAGTATTCTCAATATTATTTATTTCTGTTCTAAGAATGAAATTCATTTATTTTATTTATTTATTTTACTTCTTCTGATGACTTGGTGCCTCTTTTGTTATTCTTTTTCTAGTTTCATTAATTGTGAGTTTAGACTATCCATTTGAAATTGTTCTTTCCTGAGGTAAGCCTGTACTGCAATATATTTTCCTATTAGAACTGCCTTCGCTGCCTCCCACAGATTTTGGGGTGTTGAGTTGTTTTCATTTGTCTCCATATATTGCTTTATTTCTGTTTTTATTTGGTCATTGATGCATTGAGTATTTAGGAGCATGTTGTTATTCCTCCATGTGTTTGTGGGCTTTTTTGTTTTCTTTGCATAAATCATCTCTAGTTTCATACCTTTGTGGTCTGAGAAGCTGTTTGGCATTATTTAATGCTTCTGAATTTACTGAGGCTCTTTTTGTGGCCTAGTATGTGATCTGTTTTGAAAAATGTTCCATGTGCACTAAGAAGAATGTGTATCCTGCTGCTTTTTGGTGTAATGTTCTATAAATGTCTATTAGATCCATCTGTTCTAATGTGTTGTTCAGTGCCTCTGTCTCCTTATTTTCTTTCTGGTTGATCTGTCATTTAGAGTGATTGATGTGTCGAAGTCTCCTAAACTGAGTGCATTGTATTCTATTTCCCCCTTTAATTCTGTTAGTATTTGTTATACATAATTAGGTGCTCCTATGTTGAGTGCATAGATACTTGTAATGGTTATATCCTGCTTCAAATTTAAATGGTAATCTTGCCAGGTAGAATATTCTTATTTCATGGCCCTTCTGTTTCATTGCATTAAATATATCATGCTACTTCCTTATGGCCTTTAAGTTTTCTGTTGACAAGTGTAATAATAGCCTGATGGGTTTTCCTTTGTATGTGATCTGTTTTCTCTCTCTGATGCTTTTAATACTCTGT